AGACCAATAATGCATATCAATTTGACGGATACATTGAATGTCAATATATCTATGTGTGTAGTCGCATTAATCATTAAATGTAAATATGAACATTACATTGTGCATACAAGCATACACTTGCGGCCAGACAAACGTAACCACCACTTAAAAAATTAGCCTTAGTTTGTGAAAATTAATAAAAAAATAAACAAAAACTATAAAAATAAAAGATTTAAACTTCATACAACAGTTGGAAAAATTCATCAAATTTAAAAATTTTTACAAAATTTTCGGGTACTTTTTTTTTGCCAACGGTCTTGTGTAGGTTTGTCCTTGCTTTCTATATGGAAAAAATGCTCAACCACTTCAAACTTGCACTTTATTGTACTAAAATTAAATGGGCTTTTAAACTGAATACGAGATTTTTTCCTAAACATTTTTATTTGAAACTCAGATTTTGATGAATTTTTCTAAATTTTATGCACAATTTTAAGTTTTTATATGTATATTAAACAAAAAAAATATTAATTTACAAAATTCTATATATATTTTGGAGGTAAGGTTTTGAACAACTTAAAACTTGCACTTCATTAACTAAACTTAAATAGGCTATTGAAGTGCATACTTGAAATTTTCCCCAAAAATTTTGATTAAAAAGTTTGAAATTTTCATAAAAATTTAATAAACTTTTCTAAGTTTTGTACAAAGTTTTAAACTTTTATTTATACATATAGCTTTTGTTACAGTGTGAAATATATAAAAAAAAAAAAAATAATATTTTGTTTATTACATAATTTAATTCATTATTATTTTTTGGATATTAATTTACGAAATTTTACTTAATTTTTTTTTAAGTGATATTAAGGTTTTGAGCTACTGCAAACTTGCACTTTATTATACAAAAATTAAATGGGCTACTAAACGGCATACTCCATTTTTTTAAATCTTTTATAAAAAAGTTTAAGATTTTGATGAAATTTATTTGGTACAAAATTTTAAGTTTTAATTACATATATGTTTTTGTGTTACAGATTGAGCTATGTATATTAAAAAAATAAAATATTTAACAACTTTTTTTTAATAATTTAAAAAGTTTACCTCATTTTTTGTTTAAGTGGTGATAAGGTTTCTGGCACATTACTTTACTAAAATTAAATAGGCTATTCAAATTACATACTCCAAATTTTGATTAAAAAGTTTAAAATTTTGATTAAAAAGTTTAAAATTTTCATGCAAATTTTATAAATTTTCTAAGTTTTATAAAAAGTTTTAAGATTTTGTTTATTTAGTTTTGTTGCAGTGTGAACTATATTAAAAAAACATATTATTTTTATTAATATATAAAGCTCTACCTAATTTTTTTAAGCGGTGGTAAGGTTTGCGTGGCCACAAGTGTAAATATATATATATATGTACATACATACATGTGTATCTATATAGTAATTTATGATTTTATTCACCACTTTAATATTTAGTAAAAGAAAAAATTATTTACAACGAAAACATAAATAAACACTTTGTAATACATTTAAATATTTTTCTCATTACTATTATCTTACACGTATTTCGAAAGTGCATTAACTCAAAATTGCACAGTTGTCAGCAAATAGGAAATACTGCTTCTAAGAGCGTACCAATCATAATATAAAGGACGAATTTTTAAAAAGTCTTTAAAAAAATTCTTTGCGAAATATGAATTGAATTTTCGATCAATGTCGTAGGCTCGCCCAAGTTAATCACAGTTCAGAATGTTCAAACAATTTTTTTCTTAACTTACTTCGATCAAAATTTAACTATCTACCAAAACAACGTTTATTAGCAAAATAACTATTTTAACGAACATATCAATAATAAAACTTGAAATTTGATTTTACCAAAAAAACTTTTATAAAATAGACATAATGTACGCATTTTTTCTTCATGAAAAAGAATTTATTTGTGAGGAAATAATTTCGTATACATATACATACAAACTATAAATTTATTAATTTTCACCCATAAATAGTACGTTCATGGCTTTTCTAACAAAAATCGCAATTATCTTCCCCTAAAATTATTATTTTTTTTTGGCATAATGAACCTTGTTTTTAACCGACTTCCAAAAAAGGAGGAGGTTATCAGTTCATCGGAATATTTTTTTTTTGATGTATGTTACCGCATAACTTTGGACTACTTCAACCGATTTCGATAATTGTTTTTGCATCATCATTGGATCATGAAACATATATATATATTTTTTTAAATCGGTTTTTTTTGCTAAAAATTACTTGTTTCTATTAACAATTCAAATTAGAAATGCATTTTATATAAACTGTGAACATTTTTAGTACCTACACAAATTTGAAGTTAATACACTTTTGAAAATAGTACGCGATGTGGCCACAATGTATACATTTATTGTTTTGTTTACTAATGCATCTACAAAAACTTAACTACGTATGTATGTACATACATATGTATGTGTGTATGTACGATAGCTCAATTAATTCTACAAATTTATATTTAATTACGCGCAATAAACGGCGTTGAAATCGAATAAAAAGCATAATACAGATGTACGTACATTAGGGTGCCTCAGCAAAAAATATTGCGAGGTTTCCAGAGAAATTATAAAAATTTATTATAATTTATGAATTTCGCCAAACTATTTTCGAGAAATATTTAGATTTAGTTCTAAAATAATTTTTTTTTTCGAAACTCTCCCTAGATCTATTAAGTTTAAACTCTTCCATCATCTGAGAGATTTTATCATCATCGTACAGATTTTAAAACAAAACAACTTTCACTTCTTGAAAAGACTCAACTCCACAATTTTTTCTTGGCTGCTAGGAAAAATTGTTATCTTCGGATGAAGGTTTAAAATATGTATGAACTACGATTATTTACCGAAAAGAGCCATATTAGAAATTTAATATATTTGGTTCTAGTAATCGTACAAAGATGGTTTGTTTTGTTTAATAGCTAAAATATTTGCTAGATAACTGCGTAAAATTAGTATTCTAATTTATATGTTAAAAAAAGCAACAATTAATGGAATGGATCGAAAAATATATATAATATCCACTACAATTTTATCTAAAAAACTAAATTTTTTCTAGGTTGGAGCCTCTTATAGTTCAAAGGATATTAAATTATATCTGGCGTGAGTCACCAAACTATTTACCAAGAAATTTTTCATTTTTACAAGCATTTACTATGTTTCACAGTTTTTTAATAAATTTGTATACAAAGCTCAGAACCCGATGACAATTCAATATGAATGATGAATTAATCCGCTAGGTGGCACAGGTGTCGAGATATTTAAAAACCCCTTATTTATGGTCGGCTGTGGTTCATATTTGGAATGCATGTTACTCATGAAAAACAAAATAACTCCACAAATATTTTGCCCGATAGGTGGCGCAGGAGTCCAGATATTTGGAAAATCCGTATCTGTGGTCCGATTTATGAGTTGAGTTAATGACTTTTTTTAATTTGATGTAAAAGATCGACAAGCCAAGTCCGACAATAGATTATTATATACCATTTTAAATGCCTATACATCCTCTTCTCAGATCATCGAACTTTTAAATCGAATCAAAAATAGTCATTCAAAAACTGATAAATCTACAAAATCGTATTTTCTGACCTAAATCGACAGGACGCAACCTCCAAATGACCTTTAAAAAATCCATAAAAATAGACAATAATATTTCTCATAAAAACGACTAAAATAAGGGGGTAGAGTCTTGAAATTTCCAAAAAAAAAATTTCGAGGGGCACCCTAATATACATATGTACATACAAACATACATATATTGTAATTTTTTAATTGCTCCACTAAGCTCTTAATTTTTATTTTTTTCTAGACAATCGTCGCTTTGACTTTCGCACAATATGCGGCAAAACCATTCTTCGAAGACTGTTCCCCACCCGATTCAGCCGTAAAAATTTTAGCGGCAGTTTGTTTGTGTAAGTAAATTGGCAGAAGCACCGCGCAAATGAATTTTTTATGCTGACAAAGAAATGCAATATTTTACTTAACTAATTATGGAATGCAAGACATCAGCGAATACACAAATATACCTGCAGGTATATCTATAACATTTATAATTTTTTTTTGCATTTGTAAATATTATCTTTGATAACCCGTCACTCATTTTACATACTTGTCAGCGTAAATAAATCATTTGCGGTTTACTATATTACGTATGTATTTGCAATTGTAATTCAATACTTTCTAAAAAACATTGCAAATAAATCAATTTCTCATTATTCGTATTTATTTACATACATATTTTTAGGTTTGCTCACTGCCATTAATTGTTTATCTGTCAAATGGTCGATGAAAGTTCAGGATATCTTCACTGCTGGCAAACTCTTGGCGCTAATTATGATTATTTTGGCGGGCCTATACTATTTGATGTTGGGTCGCTTTGAGAATTTCGAAAATGCCTGGGAGGGTAATTATGATGCGGCTAATATCGGATTTGCTTTCTATTCCGGTCTCTTTGCATTTGGCGGTTGGAATTATTTGAACTTTGTGACCGAGGAGCTGCAGGATCCATACAAGTGAGTCCATGAACTATAACTGGACTATTTATAGCATTAAATGGTAAGAAAAGGGCTGCTAGTTGTAAAAAATTTCGAAATTGTTGGGTGTGTCGCAAAAACGTAGAATACAAAGTCTGTCTAATAGGGGAGGAATCTAAAGGTAAGCTGAATGCCACACTTCACTTCGACCTACGGATCTAGGTCGCTGGAATACTACCAACAAAGTGAAATGCATATCTGTGTTCCCCGTTAAGGAGCCATTAACTTTAGCTTTACAGAAAATTTACTGGTACATTCAAACCTGAATTTACGAACCTACACACTGCTGAACAATTTCGAATGACTTTACGATTTACGGATATCCAGCTCTACAGGGAAAAATGGCGGCAAGTAGCTTGTGGAACAAACCTATTATCGAGGGCTTATATTCAATAGCCTCTATCTGCAATTTTCACAAAAACAACTTTGTGATGTTAGAACCCGTCTGGGTCTTATTTGTCATCACTGGTGTTAATTCCGACTTTGCAATGTAAAAGTAAATTCTTCTTCCAAGCGTGATACAAGGTCAGAATTAACATCACCGATGACAGTTAAATCTTAGGCGTATTTTTATATTAAAATCTGGTATGTAACGACCCGGCGATATGCCCATAAAAGGATTGATATTGTTTTTTTTTTTTGTATTAATTTCTTAGGCATATCAAACATTATCTGAAACATGTCAACTATAATTAAATTAATATCTTACTTTTTACAGTACAGTTTAAGGATGTTACAACGTTATGTAAAAACCTTAAGAAAATCCCAAAAGTTTTATGTTTGAATTGAAATATCAGTACAAATCAGTACAAATTTTGAAAAATCAGGACATTAGCGTACTGAATGAAGAAATGAATAAAATCAGTACAAGAGTTGAAAAATCAGTACTGTACTGATAAAATCAGTACGTCTGGCAACCGTAGGTGGAGTAGTTTTTGAGATACACATATATGATATACATATGTAGGTGGGCGGTGCCACACCCATTTTCCTAAAACCACTTTTTTGCTAAAGAGCGATTGTAAATATAAATTTTTCAATAAATATTGATGAATTCCTTAGCCACACCGCTCAAAAAAATCTGAAATTCCGGTACATACACACAAATAAATTCAAGGCCGTATTTAAGAAAAGCCGCCTAACTTCGACGGTTTTTATGCGATTGCAATAAATGAACTATCAGTTTATTTGAAAATAAATTTAATTTTTGATAGTACCACACATTTTGAAATTGTGGAAATTATCAATGGTCAAAATTTAAAGAATTAAGAGACATATGTTTTTTTTTTTTTAAATTTACTCTATACAAAATCCCAACAAGCCAAGTCCGACAATCGACTATTATATACCATTTAAAGGCCTATATATTCTATTCTCAGATCATATTCGATCTTTGAAATTGAATCAAAAATAGCCATTCAAAAACTCATAAATCTACTAATTTGTAGTTTCTGACCTAAATCGACAGGTCGCGACCTCTAAATGACCTTTAAAAAATTTATAAAAATAGCCAACAATATTTCTCATAAAAACGAATAAAATTAGGGGGTAGGGTCTCTAAATTTCCCAAAAAAAAAAAGATTTCCTTTTTTTGTTTATTTTAATTTTTGATACACTAATTGCCAATACCTCCTCGTTAGCAGATCTTTTAATTCGAAAGTGTATTTCAAGATATTTAGTTGCTAGAATTGACAATTGTCTTGCGATAGACTTTTGTTACGCATCTAAATTCCTCAAAAAACTTTTTCCATTACCAGAAGAATTTCACTTACTCTTAATTGCAAATTATCCTACAATTTGTCTTTTTCAAAGACTAACCTAGTGTCAATTATTCCATGGAATCATTCATTAAAAATAATAAAGTGTTGTGTACGCACTTTATGTATTTAAAACTTATGTATGTATGTATCATTTGACTTTAATTTTCTCAAGTAACGTAAATTTTTTGCTTGCGTCATTCGAGTAAAACTCGTATCCTTAAAAGCGTCCTTTGCGAATTCTTATCCTGTTTGTATTTTATATACGACTATCCTTTGCAACTTTTTTCCTATAGATATTGAATCACGTTGAAGTGGCTTTATTGCGTATAAAAGTGGAATCCTCAGAAGCAATATGGCGATGTGTATTTAAATGCGAATGTAAGAGACAAACATACGTATTAGGGTGGTCTTTAAAAATATTAATATCTAAATTTTGAATGGGACATCTCTTTATTTTGTGCTAGGTATTCAATAAAGACATCGACGAAAATATCAAAATTTTAAAATATTTTTTAGTGGGCACTACCCCAGTCTTTGGAGCTTAGTATTGCAGAATGAATCCATTTGGCGCTAGCTAAGAATTTATATGAATAATTCTCAAGAATGCAATGTTAAATTTATCAGATTTGATTTTTTCAAATCCTGGTAGCGTAAATACTTTAAAAATATTTTAAAATTTTGCTATTTTCGTGGATGGGTTTATTTTGTATGAGGAACAAAATAAAGGGATAATTCGTAGAAAATATAAATGTTGGTATTTTAAGAAGCACCCTAATATATATGTAAATATATGTACATGTCATTTAGCAAAAGTCTGTGTGCTCCTAGAAGAAAACGTTTAACTGTGCATGAAGGTCATGTATTTTGTATTGGAAATTCAAGTGGTTTTGTATGTTTGTTCACTTTCATTCATTTGTGTTAGCCAGGGTTGTTTAAGAATCACCAGTTGATTGTAAAGGAGGTATAAAAGAATAATGTGCATACACAGATACAAACAATCAAAGACACATACCCACCAGCTAGCAGAGAAACGAAAATTTTGTCGACAATGCGGTCTCGTACCATTTTCCGTGTCCGGAAATGAACAGAAAACGACTACAAATTCAATAAAGTAAAATAAAATAAATTTAATTCAAATTTAAAATAAATTGCATTAAATTAATTAATTAAATAAGTAAAATAAAATAAAATAAAATAAAATAAAATAAAATAAAATAAAATAAAATAAAATAAAATAAAATAAAATGAAATAAAATTAAATTAAATTAAATTAAATTAAATTAAATTAAATCAAATTAAATTAAATTAAATTAAATGGAAAAAAATAAAATATAATAAAATCAAACAAAGTGACAAATAAAATTAATTTAAATTAAATGACTAAATTAAATAAATTACAATAGATACAATAAAAAAATAAATAAAAACAATCACAATCATAAGAATCCGTTAAAACATTGTTTAGAATAACCGAAACATTTATTAGATATCCGGATAACAAAATAGAGCGGATTTTAACCGGGTATCCGAATATATGGATAGTCCCAGTCCTAATTCATAAGTTTGTTCTCATACTTACATATGTACATATGTATGTAAATACATATACATACATATGTAGAATATGCGCTTGACACTTGTTGAGCAGAGATGATTTGCAATTCATGAGGGCTCATTGAATATTTCGCAGAAGCGTGTGGCTAAGTGACTGACTGCCAATGAAATGTACTAGATAAAATATATGCGTCGGAAGATGAATGCCTATTCAAATGAAACATACATACTTCTGTATAATCGTGACGAAGGCTGAGGCAGGCAATATTCGTGGCAATAAAAAAATTTAATTTTTAAGAAACAAAATTTTTTAAGGGTGGTTTGGCTAGAATGGTTTTCCACTCTGTTGTTAGGCAATAAGCAAAATACTTAGCCTGTTTGAAGGTGTTTAGCCATTTTAATGAATATCGTTAAATTTACTTACGTATAAGCAGAGGCGGCCGCATTCCAAAAAGGTGGCAGTATGCAGGAATGTTTGACCAAGCCTTTTTGTGCAGCCTTACTCTTGCACGGGTCGAACACTCGCTGAGGCAGTCCTCAGCTATCTCTTCATGGTGGGACCTTGCAATTTGGCAGAACCGATAGACAGCCGTGATTTTGTACTTTCGTTGCTCGTTCCTTAAAGGATCCTGGTTTTAAGTGGGTTGTAGATGCTCCTGATCCATCTGCTATTTCTAAAATATCCTGCACAGTTCCACCTCTGATTAGGTTTCGATTAGCAAATTTTTGGTAGTTCTGCTTTTTGTTTCTCTGCACCACCCTGCAAATGTATGGGACGTCTTAAGTGCAGGAGCGCACTTCTCTAAGCCTTGACTAGACAAAGCCATCAGAAATAAGGAATTTGAATACCATGGCGGATTCTTTAGGGAAGCCGGGGGTGTCTTGGTCATATTGGGTTGTGCACATTCTTTAGAGATACAAAATACCTTTCAGGTCGAAGTGTCTCTTGTTCTGACATATCCGTGCATTTAGCCATCTACAAATCTATCTCTAAGCCTAGACTTCGCTTCCTAGGATGACCGTATTTAGAAGCACCTGACCTAAATAGCGTTTAAATAGCCAAAGGACCACGCGAGGTTCCTTAATGATACGTGGTTTGAATAAGACCTATCCAAATAGAGGTCTTTTAGAAGAGATCTACCGATCCCTACTCTTAATATTAAACTAATGTAATCTAGGGAGCGCATGCCTTCGCTCATCAGAATGCATAGAGTCGGGCGTCTATTCAGGTTAGTTGTGAGTCTGTCAGTCAGTCATATTCCATGCTGAGATCCCTCAAAATAATTTTTAATACTCTGTTTGCCGCGCGAATATCTGAAATAGACGTTGGATTTTATTTCAAAACAACTGCGCTTATGGCTTAAGATCCTTCATGTACTTGATTAAAAGCAGATATTTTTCCGAATTTAAACCGCGTCTGAAGTGAAATTGTAATTGAGCAGTACAAGTTTTCGTAAAAATGGTTATCCACAAATCTGAACTTTATTTTTTTCGAGTGCGTACGAATAACGTACGGAGAGTTATTATTAGATCCTCCCTTATCTTAAGAGCTGCCAAAGAAATTTGTACCAGGGTCTTTGAACCTCGGTTCGTCAATAGCCGCGGCAGATTCCATGTTGCACGCTTCACTCTACATGTATCCAGGTTATTTAACCTGCTATTTGCAGCTTTTGTTCCTCTATTTACAATTTATAAGGGCAGGAAACTTAGTGGAGTTCCTATGCTTTTATTTAAGACTTGTCTTACAAACACATTCAGTTTCTCACTTTCCGAAACAGCAGCCGGAAAAGACTGACGGTGCAATGCTAACGAAACTTGAGGGATTAAGTTTGTCATCGCCGGCATAAGGGTCTGGTTCGATACTTTACTGTCTACCAAGAAGCTAAGTGTTATGGTAGGAAATACAGCAGTCTGGAAGCTTTCTACAATGGAAGTTGCTGGAAGAAGAGGAAACGCGCAGAATCTGTTGCGATGTTCATTTCGGAATCATCCATAAATAGGGGAATCTCTTATCCATTATCCATCTGTCGGGGATGTGAACTTCGAAATTGTGCCAAATGTTGATCTTCGGGATTTGACAGTCACAGCGCCTTTCAATGGCTCTGTCTAAAATGGAGGTATTACCCTTACTTGTCATTCGCAGCCTTTTAGATGCCTTAAGCCTGGGGGCGGGTGCTGTAGCGGACTGCTTTGAGGCGTGTACTTCTACTCCGTAGGACCCGGGTTCGATCACTATATCAAGAAAAGTTTTTACTGCCAGCGGTCGTCCTTCGGCTGGGAATGGGAAACCTCCGAGTGTGTGTGTTTCTGCCTTGAAAAAGCTTATTTTTAAAACCACCTTGCCGTTTGGCGTAAAACGATAGGTCCCTGCCCTTTATGTGACAACATCGAGGCGCACGGCACAGATCGGAAAAGAAGCTCGACCAAACATCTAGCAAAAGTCTAGGCACTAAAATATTATTATTAAAAGAACTTAGTGATAAAAGTATTGCATTTTGTTTACTCTATTTTTTACTTTTCCTCCCCAGAAATCTTCCACGTGCCATTTGGATCGCCATGCCTTTGGTCACCGGCATTTATGTACTTGTGAATTTGGCCTACTTTGTAGTGGTATCAAAAACCGAAATGCTCAGCTCGCTAGCAGTCGCAGTCACATTCGGTAATCGCGTTTTCGGACCACTCGCCTTCATGGTGCCCATATTTGTAGCGCTAAGCACTTTTGGCGGCGTCAATGGTGTACTCTTCACTTCGGCGCGTCTGTTTGCGACCGGCGCACAAGAAGGACATTTACCAAAATTTTTCACGCTATTCCACATTAAACAGCAAACGCCCATACCATCGCTGATATTTTCGGTAAGTTGTACAGGGGACATTTGGAAAACTTGTATCTAATATTCATGAAATTTTTTAACTAAATGAAGACTCTATCTTACTATTTCTAGTGCATCACATCACTGCTGACATTACTCACTGCCGATGTTTACATTCTGATCAACTACTTTAGCGCCATGTTGTGGCTATCAGTGGTGGCCAGCATTGCTGGCATGCTTTGGTTGCGACACTCCAAGTAAAGATTTCCATAATTACTTTTTCTTATATAACTAAAATCAAGTATTCAACTTTTCTATTACCTCTACTTTTCTATAGACCCAACATTCCGCGGCCCATCAAAGTGCACCTGGCACTGCCTCTAATTTTCATAGTATGCTGTCTGACTCTGGTGCTTTTGCCCAGCTTTACAAATCCCATGAATCTCATTGTCGGTATCGGCATAACGGTAGCTGGCATACCCTTCTATTACTTGTGTATAGCGCGAAGAAACAAACCAGCTTGCTATGGTAAACTCTCACGTGGTATGGTGAATTTCTGTAGGGCTATGTTCAATACAGAGATCATTGAGAGTAGTGAAAAAGTTGATAAGTGAAAGGCTCGAAAGCAAAATGTAATCGTAGTTAATGAAACCTAGCGACAAAACCGATATTTTTAAAGGCAATGTATTAAATTTAAGCGCAGGAATAGTATTGTATTTATATCATACGAATATATATATTTTTTTAATTTTTAAGTTTACTTCATGCACTAAATACTTACTTACATAACTCATTAAAACTTAACACAAACATATTTTGAATAGATATATGTACAGTAATGGGCAAAAATGGTCGAATGATGTTTACATTTAAATATTTATTCAAAATGTTTTAAATTTTATTTTTTAATATTTTTTGTCCATACTGTAACCAAAACCACATAAGTGAAAGCTTTAGACTTTATCTAAAATTAAGACAAACCTAGAAAATGTTAAACGAAATTCCATTGTGATTTTTGCTTAAAAATGTCTTGTTAAGAAATGCACTTGTTATACATATACACACATATAAATGTATAAAAAAATCCGCAAAAGCAGTAAAAAGACTTGCTGTTTATTAGATCAAAATTTGATGGATTAGGCATACCCCGAAAACGTCTAAAGATTCAGGTTAAAAAGTTTGAAATTTCGATAAAAATTTGTTGAATTTTCTAAATTTTGTGTAAAGTTTGAAACTTTGATTTACATAGTTATGGTTAAACAGGGACCGTAATCATCAGTTCTATAAAAAATTGATTTTTAATCATTATTTTAAAGTTTTTAAGTTATCGATCAATTCTTATAACAAATTTTTGAGTTTTACTATATTGCCCAGAAAAAAATTACATAACTAATTTGGTCTAAAATAAAACCCATTTTTCAATCTAAAATAATGATTACCTTGTGAATTATTTTTTGATAAATATAAGCATTATTTTATGTCAAGAGTTTAATTTTTTTATCAAAAGTAATGATTATTGCTTAAGTTTTATTTTTTTTTATCGATAATTAGACTCACTTGAGCGTTATTTTATCTTTAAGAAATAAAAATTAATTCTACAGTTTTATTTTTTTTTTGCAGATCGAAAAACTCAAAATGCCACAGAACTTTTGTAAAAAGTGTTTTTTGCTGCACTCTTCAATATATGCACTAAAAAATTTACAACAAATTTATCAACATTATTATTTACTAATAAATACATATATACATATGGATATGTTATGCCTATATATTTCTTGTAATATTTGAGTGCATAGCAGAAAATATTTACTGCTAAGCAGTTATTAGAAAAGCGGGGTGGTGTTTTGAAATGTTCCATCTGCAATAAAGCACAAAAATTATTTATTTAATATTATTTTATAATGCTCAAGAAAACAGTTTTTTTCTCAATCAAAATATTAAGACATAAGAAATATTCATTACTTTTGATGAAAAAATAAAACTTAAAAATAATTGCTTTTTTTTTAAATCAAAAAACCAAAAAAAAAAAAAAATATTAAATAATGCTTACCTACTTTTGATCAAAAATTAACAATTCACAAAATAATTATTATTACAGAGCGAAAAAATAACACTGGAAAATGAGCTTTATATTGGATATAACTCAATATATAATTTTAGTTTCCGATAGTTTAATTGTAAGTATTATTTATAATTTTTATAGATATCGCTCAGAAATTTTTAAATCCTAGCGGATTCATAGAGGAACTAAATAAACATACACATACATATGTATTTATATATACTCGAAACTGTTCTGCGATATTTAGGAGCGTTTAATTTTTTAAATACTTGAAAATAATCATTATTTTCGGTCCCTGTTTTTAATATTCACAACGTTTATTAGGTAAAATTTTAGAAAATTTTTGGAAGTTTTTTAAAATTTTGCATAAAGTTTGAAGCTTTAATTCATATGGTTTTGGTTAGAGCATGAACAATCGTTTTATAGAAAAATAATAAAAAAAAAAATTACTTGAAAAACATTGTGAATATGTACTATTTTTGCCCGTTACTGTATATAAGTGCATAATTATTTATTTAAATGTACCAAATTTAAAAATAATCGTTTAAGTTAAACATAAAACTATATACAGTTGTGTTCATTTAATTGGCAGCGCTGTACATGAAGTCTGAACTCAAACGCTTTTTTCGGCCGTTTTTTTTTTGTTGTTTTGGTTGCGCTGTGCTGGCTGGATACAAAACAAAAACTTGAGAGAATAGTGAATGATCTATGACTCTTCTAGATTAGAGTTTGACGATCGTCGCTTCAATTCTACCAACAAAGAAAATTAAAACTTATTTTGTTGTACATATTTCGATTACCAATGAGCTAATTAGTTACTTAAGTGAATAAATGTAGCATAACAAGAGGCATTGCGGCCTGAAGGATCTTTTGAATGCACAAAGCGAGTTCCTAGCCCAGTGTGCCAAAGATAACTTCGGCTTCCGTGACGAATCTTGAAAGGGCTCTGGAAAGCGAATTCTTTATTGCAAAGAGTTCGCAAATAGGAGCTTTAATCTTTGTCTAGCGCAGGGCGGTCAACCTCAAAGAATTTGCTTCATAGTTTCATCGTCTTCAAGGCAGAGTCGGCATTCTGAATTTGCGATCATATGTACTAGCTACATACTTGTGCGCCAGCATTCGGCAGGGCCTGGGTTCAAGCCCGGTTCCACTCCAACATAAAAAAAAAAATAAAAACACAAACTTTATTTTTCTAATAGCGGTCGCCCCTCGGCAGGCAATGGCAAACCTCTAAGTTTATTTCTGCCATAAAAATGAGCATAAAAATACAATAGCCGTTCGGAGTCGGCGTAAAACAGAGGCTAAAGCCTAATATTAATAAGTTCCTAGACTAGCTTATTTTTTTTTCATTGTTGAACAGATAGAGATATGCCTTACATGCTTTTCTGCTTTTAAGTCAATTGCTAGTATGTAATTTTCTTTAAAGCACTTGAAATAGGTCGTATATAACAGTTATCGTGTTCAGTTAACAGCTATTTAAGTTTTATTTATGAACACAACTGTATTTCTAGTATATATTAGATATATTTTAAGCTAAGTTTTATTTTAAGCTATTTTCATATTTCTTTTTAGACAAAATTTTAGTTATAGAATTCAAATAAAAGTCGAGATTTCGTCGATCTTAAAGTCGGAATAATGCCGTAACTTGCTATATCGAAAATAATACGTTCAGTAGAAAGTATGAAAGTATGTACCAACTACGAGTATTTTGAAAAGCTATGAACGAAATGATTGTGACATTTTAGGGAATAATGCCTTAAATGATATTATTGCAAAAATATATTTTAAGTAAACGTACATGTCTTCATGTGTACATGCTTCAAATTTGTTGCAGACTACATAAATATACATACATAAATTCATTGTGAGCTTTACATGCTAAACTAAATGTTTTATATATGTAAGTAAGCAGAAAAAGTTAAAAAAATAAATGTAAGTTGAAATTTAAATACGTGGAGAAATATCTACTTATTAAATGCCTCATTTTGGATTTTAGATTTTACAGGAGCTGGCACTGGTCTGGAAACCTTCCGTAAGTCGCCTAACTCTCTGAAAAAAATTTCGATCGTCTTCCTGTATCTCTTCTTATTGCTGCAAATACGTCTCACTTCCCTCTTCAGTTCCCTATAACGGTCTCACATGGCTTGCGTTGCGCCCGATCACAGCGTGGCCCTGTAGGCGACATCGTTTTTCTCTGCAGCTACTTGACACTACTCATCGTACCAGTTGTTTTTTCGGGCTCGCTGTAATCCTACTACTTCTTCGGCGTCGGTACTTAATGAGCGAGAAATTTGGTTCCACTGCTCGCGTATGTCGGATTGTTGAAGAGTTGCTCTTATAGAGCAGGTGTGAAAGTCGAGTGGCGAATAAATTGGCCGTCTGTTGTGACTGCAGCTTTTCGACGTTAAGCTTTCCATGCATTGTTGGGCGCACATTTTTCGCTACACAGAGGCGGGTGCATATCTTGGCTGCAACAAAATAATAGTCCGATTGGCTCCAGTAAATCTGGTAGGAAAATCTGTTGAAGGATCGGCGATTTAGCCGCGCCAACCATAAGACTATAACCAAAAGATCGACTACTCTGCGTCTAAACTGCTCAGCGCCTCAAGAGAGGACAGAGAGTCACACTACGAGATTAGGAATATTCCCCCATGAACGTTGCGGAAGTTGCAGAGATGAAGAAAAAACAGTTGAGCACTTCTGCAGCTATCCAGCAGCAAGAAATGGTCAAGAAAATTTTATTGATCAAATGAAAATGAAAAAGCGAGACAGCCGGCTCCAAAAAATAGAAATTTATAGCTTGACCGTTTTCTCAAAAATTCCGTACTTAGCTTTACATATTGAATAAGTACAAAAGACATGATCATTAAAATTAACCTACGAAACCCCGAATAAGCGCGAAATAAGCAATTCCAAAGAAAAGCTTAAAACTTCGGCCCTGGTGATAACCCTTTTGAAATTTTTTTGTATAAAAGAGTTTTTGAATAATTCGTTGTATAATAAGTTGCAAATTTCCTTCTAATAAACCTTTCATTTCAGCCCCTTTTGTCTGGTACTTAATTTAATTTAGTTTTTCGAATACTGAGTTAAAACTGTATTTTTACAATCGAATAAACCGGGGTTCCACCTAATTTTCTTATATACCTGAATATAAAAATTTTATTGAAAATAGAACTACATAGAACATTTGGAATACATTTTTATCTGGATACTGAACAGTTTTCCACTGCAGAAAATTAGTTAAAAAAATTCAAGAAAAACCGGACTAAAATCGTTCACTGTTTTTTTTTTTTTTGTTGTTATAGAGCTTCTTCAAAAGTCTTTTCCATTAAGGTTTCATAAGCCACTTTATTTTGACATCCATATTGTATCATTTTATTTACGTTATCAAATTATTTGAATTAAATTTTTAAACAGTCCTAAAAAATGTCAAATGAATAAATCATTATGAAAAGATAAATAATCAAATTATTTTAATTAAATTTTTTGAACAGGTGGCAGCACTCCTAAACAATATTTTTGGGTAATAGTTTGGTTTTTCAACATCTTTAGTTTGATACCCGTACGGTAATCAAGTGTTATTTATTTTATCAATTTAATTGAAAACAATTTTTGAAACATGTTGAAACCCTATTATTTTTACTTTTATATCCAAATTGTAATAGATTTTTCATTTAACTAATCGGAATTTTTCAAGCAGGTGGCAACTTTCTATTTTTTATAATTGAAATCGTTCGAAGTTTATAGCGAGAAAAATTATTCTTTTTGTTGAGGACATTTAGTTAGAATTTTGTTAGCGTTACAGGGTGATTCAAATTTCAAAAACCTACACCGTGCGAAACCTCTCTCTCCACTCAGAAACATTTGGAATATTTTTTACGTTTTGACGTTTTAGCACCAAGAGGGTTAACTAGTTATTATTAGAGTGGCACTGCCCACTTATGACTTATGTATATCTCAGTAACCGCTCTATCGATTTCTTCAAGACTTAGTTCAATTATTTCGTTAAAATCTCTAATAATGTGCGGGTAGAAC